GTCTAAATATCCCATATGGGTTGTGTGAAATGGTGTTTTCAGTTTCATTCAGTTGAAGTAAAGAACGTTGAATATTTCTAAGTGTGCTGTTTTGAACCAACATGTCACAGTATGATCAGTGCTGTAATTTTTGACAGTCACTGTATCAATGTTATTTTTGCATCTCTTGAATAAAGGTTTTGACCTGCAAGTGCTAATTTCATTAGTTATTGGGGTAAAATGGGTAACGTTAATAGGAAGGTGTTTGCCAATTCAGTAACCTAATTTAATGTTAATGGAAACTAACATTATCTCAAATTGTTTAGTTATAATTGTTGTTTACAGTGGGGCAAAAAAGTATTTAGTCAGCCACCGATTGTGCAAGTTCCCCCTCCTAAAATGATGACAGAGGTCAGTAATTTGCACCAGAGGTACACTTCAACTGTGAGAGACAGAATGTGAAAAAAAAATCCATGAATCCACATGGTAGGATTTGTAAAGAATTTATTCGTAAATCAGGGTGGAAAATAAGTATTTGGTCAATAAAAAAAATACAACTCAATACTTTGTAACATAACCTTTGTTGGCAATAACAGAGGTCAAACGTTTACTATAGGTCTTTACCAGGGGCCCGTTCTTCGTACGTCACTCACTACATCCAAGATCAAATGACACATCCAAGATCAAACCATCGCGCTAACCGTGAGCTCGCTAATCCGGTTCTCCGAACACACCTTCCGTTGACGATTAGTACAGCTGGACGCAGTAATGTGACATCACTGGGTGTCGTAAAAGGGGCTACGCATCGATAGTAGAAACATTGATCGGCAACCCTCTGATTGGTCGGCGAAAATGTCGAAGGAGCGCGCTCGGCTCGGTATTTTTCGGCAGCAGAGCAAGAACTCCTGAGTGAGGGATTTCAGGAGTTTCAGAGTTAAATCAGAACGCAAGGGAACACTGCAAAGGCTGCAAAAGCAAGGAGAGAGGGCTGGCAGAAAGTTGCTAACAAATTAAACTTGTAAGTAATTTAATAATATTAATAATAAATTGGATTTATATACTGCTTTTCAAGGCACCCAAAGCGCTTTACAATGCCACTATTCATTCACTCTCACATTCACACACTGGTGGAGGCAGCTACGGTTGTAGCCACAGCTGCCCTGGGGCAGACTGACAGAAGCGAGGCTGCCATATCGCGCCATCGGCCCCTCTGGCCAACACCAGTAGGCGGTAGGGTAGATTTATTATATTACACTATATTATCCAATATTACATTACATTATATTATATTGTTATATTATATCCTCTTTCACATTAGAGCCACAACAGGACCCACTAGAACATGGGAACAAGTAAAAGTGAAATATAAGAATATTCTACAGAATGGTAATATTTATCACTTATATTGCTTGTCGTCTCTTGGAAAGAGACCCTGAAATAATCTGTTTGTTTGTTCATAACAGCAACCAAGAAAAGGGCAGAGCAAAAAAAGACAGGTGGTGGTCCTGCACCCCCTCGTCAACAAGTTGGTTAAGTAAATAATATCCTCACGGGAAAATCGATATCTCTCTATGAGCACACTGTCGCACTGAGCTAAAGGATCCTGTCTGTCCCGCAATATACGCTGAATTCTGAGGACTCCTTATCAATCTTGCACCTTCCGCAGTGGGTGGCTCGCGTAAACGGACAGGACATGGCTGCGACAGGCTTCCCAAATCCACCTTGGCTTTTATAGCCGTGGTCTCTCATCTTGATTACACGAAGTAATTTACAATTACTACTCTGAAATATGAATTACATCTGTAATAATCACATACATGTAATAGAATGTTAATAGTACATTTCCCTTTTTTAGGAAATGACCTGTATGTATCTGTGTGACATCAATAAAAGGATCAAGTGCTGCATTATCTTCAGTTACATTGATGTTATTTATTTATGGTGAAACAGTGGTGGAATATCGCTGTTGCTTTCGTATAAATGAAGCAGACATACCTGCGTGGCCGCGATCTAATCCTGTTTACATAAAGTAAACCTGCTCCCGAGCAGGTTTACGCTTACGGCTCTGTTGCTATGACAGCAAGTCCCGGATGAGCTTCGGGGAACCGAACGATCCAAGATCACGCGAAATCGTCAACAATCTAATCCAGCTAACTTACTTAGCGAGGTACGAAGAACAGGCCCCAGGTTTGCACACACAGTAGCTGGTATTTTGGCCCATTCCTCCATGCAGATCTTCTCGAGAGCAGTGATGTTTTGGGGCTGTCGCCGAGCAACACGGACTTCCAACTCCCGCCACAGATTTTCTATGGGGTTGAGGTCTGGAGACTGGCTAGGCCACTCCAGGACTTTCAAATGCTTCTTACGGAGCCACTCCTTTGTTGCCCGGGCGGTGTGTTTTGGATCATTGTCATGTTGGAAGACCCAGCCTCGTTTCATCTTCAAAGTTCTCACTGATGGAAGGAGGTTTTGGCTCAAAATCTCACGATACATGGCCCCATTCATTCTGTCCTTAACACGGATCAGTCGTCCTGTCCCCTTGACAGAAAAACAGCCCCATAGCATGATGTTTCCACCCCCATGCTTCACAGTAGGTATGGTGTTCTTGGGATGCAACTCGGTATTCTTCGTCCTCCAAACACGACGAGTTGAGTTTATACCAAAAAGTTCTGCTTTGGTTTCATCTGACCACATGACATTCTCCCAATCCTCTGCTGTATCATCTATGTGCTCTCTGGCAAACTTCAGACGGGCCTGGACATGCACTGGCTTCAGCAGCGGAACACGTCTGGCACTGCGGGATTTGATTCCCTGCCGTTGTAGTGTGTTACTGATGGTGACCTTTGTTACTTTGGTCCCAGCTCTCTGCAGGTCATTCACCAGGTCCCCCCGTGTGGTTCTGGGATCTTTGCTCACCGTTCTCATGATCATTTTGACCCCACGGGATGAGATCTTGCGTGGAGCCCCAGATCGAGGGAGGTTATCAGTGGTCTTCTTTGTCTTCCATTTTCTGATGATTGCTCCCACAGTTGATTTTTTCACACCAAGCTGCTTGCCTATTGTAGATTCACTCTTCCCAGTCTGGTGCAGGTCTACAATACTTTTCCTGGTGTCCTTCCAAAGCTCTTTGGTCTTGGCCATGGCGGAGTTTGGAGTCTGACTGTTTGAGGCTGTGGACAGGTGTCTTTTATACAGATGATGAGTTCAAACAGGTGCCATTCATACAGGTAACGAGTGGGGGACAGAAAAGCTTCTTACAGAAGACGTTACAGGTCTGTGAGAGCCAGAGATTTTCCATGTTTGAGGTGACCAAATACTTATTTTCCACCCTAATTTACGAATAAATTCTTTACAAATCCTATCATGTGGATTCATGGATTTTTTTTTCACATTCTGTCTCTCACAGTTGAAGTGTACCTCTGGTGCAAATTACTGACCTCTGTCATCATTTTAAGTGGGGGAACTTGCACAATCGGTGGCTGACTAAATACTTTTTTGCCCCACTGTATGACCCTGAAGGTAAGCGCGTCATGGACTAAAGTAAAACAGTATGTTGGATGTGCCATGCAATGCTCAATTACATGGGTGGGAGCTAGTGTGTTAGCTCAGTTAGCTCGTTAACGTGTTGGCCGTCTAGCCCCATGCACGGGGTGATCGGCGGTAGCTCGTTAACGGAGATTTGCCGTGTTGTGGCGTTAAGGTCATTTCAACGAGATTAACCTGAAAGCACTAGTGGGAACACAACGAATATGACTGCACATTTACGCCGACATTATCCTAGTGCAAGGACAAAGATGAGCGATTCCTCAATCAGATACAGGGCTTGCAATATTGCTAGCCCGACGTCCCGGGGCTAGCAATTTTTCCAGTCGGGCTACCAAAATCTATCTCTGCCCTGCCCGTCGGGCTATTGTAGGAAGGAAAAATATATGTCAATGATTTTGCATTCTTTCAGAAATGTAGCTGGGTAATTATGTCATTGTCATCGGTGAGCCACTGTCAATATGTGACATATTGAAGTCGCGTTTGAATTTGCGCTTGTTTTTTTGCTTTCACTTTGCAATCACGCGAACTGCGTATAGAGAGCGACAGCACTGATTGGTGAGTGATGATAATTTGCGCACCAATTCCTCTGACATCGTCTTATCAATCGTTAGCTTACTATGCAAACATGACAAGTGAAATCTCCCACAGCTTAAACATGTGAGAGGTTGATCGCACAGAGAATCGCTGAGCTTATGTGAGTCGTGTGTAAAAGCAGCAGGATATATATTTTAGTTCTGCTGAGCCAAATAAGACAGGTCAGGGTGAAGAAGTGACAGCCAAAAAAAAGCTTACCACAAAACGGAGAAGTTATGACAAATCAGACTATAAGGCAAAAAGAAAGTGCAGCTTTATGGTTTCATGGACAAAAGAATTTCTGTGGCTGTGATATGATGAGCTAAATAACCAGGGCTGCACATAAGTGGTCCGCAGGTGCGCATTCGCTGTCAAAATAAAAAACACGCACAAGGGTTAGGGTTAAATTTAAAAACTGTACTTTTGAGTTAAAATATATATTTATAATTTTAATAAATGACAAATTAAAAAGGCATGAACATTTTTTTGTATCGAAAAAATATCGAACCGTGACACCAAAGTATTGAACCGAACCGTGAATTTTGTGTATCGTTGCACCCCTAATATATATATATATATATATATATATATATATATATATATATATATATATATATATATATATATATATATATATATATATGTAGAGATAGATAGATAGAGAGATAGATAGATAGATAGATAGATAGATAGATAGATAGATAGATAGATAGATATATCCATATAATGATGCAGTGCTACACACATTCATATTTGCATGTTATTGTGTTCAGAGAGGCTGCTTTTTATTTTTATTTCCTCATTGCTGTGCACATTTTTTTTATAACCGACTTCAAGGTAAAACTTGGACTCAGATGCTGTTGAACCTGTTTTCTGGAACAGAGTCTTGAAGGAACCAAAAGCAAACTTTTATTTATGTGTCAACATTTGGAGATAAATGTCTCACTGATTCTGATCCATCCGTGTCGGTTAATTCTGCCAGTTGGATTTTTGTTTACAGGGGGATGAAGATGCTGCTGGTGTTGCTGCTCCTCATCAACAGTAAGATACACACTTTAAATACTGTTTAAATGCCGATTGTGTGTAAAACTTATAGAGCTGTATTACAAACAAGTAACTTGAATAGTGAGGAAAGAAGCTTTGTTTGTAAAAATATGAAAGACTGTAGTCAAAGGTTGTGCTTTTCCATCATTGAGACGCTGAACAACATCTTAAAATAGTTTTACACTAAATCCCTTTGTCTGTACGGTGGTTCAGTCCTCGTCTTACAAACAGGCGTTCATCGCAGTCACCGTACAAGTCTGTAGGTACTGAGAGCCAAGGATGAACATTTCTGACATACCTCTGCAGGAGTGCCAACTACTCACTGTGTGTGTGTGTGTGTGTGTGTGCATGTGTATACATGGTGTAGACTTGTTTAAACTGATTCTACTACGGTGGTTATCCTCAGGCGGAGTGGCTGAGCAGCCTGCAGTTTATTCATATTGAGTGTGATGTACAAGAAGGTACAGTGTTGTGTGTAACAGGAACAGGAAAACATCACAGTATAAAAGATGAAGATAAAGGCTGAACTGACAGCTGTTCCACTGCTGTCACATTAAGGACCTGCATCAGAATAATTTTTGTAATGTTGCTTTACTGGAACAGCAGTTATTAAACTTGTCACAAGATGGCGCTCCAACATATTCACAGTCACATTAAGTGGTGAAGGAAACACTTGTATGTACAATAAATGTATCTACAACATCTGTGTCAAACCAGCTTACTATTGTGTTGTCAAGAGTCATGTTTCAATATTCAAACACATGTCTTGGGTTTCTTAAATTAATTTGTCACCTGAGGTATCTGAGACAAACCCACAGCATGCGGTTAATTTCTATGTCTGTTTATGTGTCTTCAGTTTCCCAGCATGCCCTGGCTGTGGTGGTGGAGGTGAATGAGGGGGAAAGATCTGTCCTGCTGCCCTGTCAGTACTCAGGTATTACACCCGAGGACCCCACAATGATGTGGATGCGCAATGATCTTCATCCCAACTCTGTCCACCTACAGCGAGAAGGAAGAGATGACCTTAGAGGACAAAACCAGCGTTACAGCAGGCGCACATCGATGAGGCGTGATGCTCTGCACACTTTAGACTTCAGCCTCACTCTGAGAAAACCACAACTGACCGACAGCGGCAACTACACCTGCTCCATGGGTGATGGGATAGGAGACCGAAAACTGACAGTTATACAGCTACAGGTCAAAGGTCAGCAACAAACACCAACACCTGCTCTTTATGCAGCTCAGGAGTCAGTACTGTGGACAGATCAGAGGTTAAACAAAGAGTGTTAGATTGATTTGGTTAAAAGTTGTCATTGTTGTGTTTAAATTTGTCTTAAACACAACAATGACATGCAGTTTTCTTAAACTGCATGTTTAGATATTTTTCTGTTACTACCGTACATGTACGATGGTGGAGGAGGTTTAGCTATTAGTGTTTAACTGCAGGCACATTCCATATAAGATTCTGGTTTCCTTATTTGATAAGGAATGTTTACTTCCTGCCATTTATAGGCTCACCTGCACTGGTATATGAGAGACCGTTAAAGGGGTTAAACCGTATACAGGAGGGGTGAGATGACTCTTTTATGACCAGAGATGGGGGTAAAATGGTTATAACCGGGAAGTCAAGCACATACACACAGTTACACACACACATGCTCGCATGTGCATGCACACACACACACACACACACAGTGCCTTTAACTTTTATGACACACCATATCAGAATCAGAATCAGAATCAGAAAGGGTTTTATTGCCAATAGTTGAGCAGGTTTACAACATTAGGAAATTGCTGCGGTGCTTCAGTGCAAACATACTGTCATAAATTACGTTTAAATAGACATGAAAATAAAAATAAGAGTAAGAATTAAAAGTGCTAAGTAGATAGATATATACATGATATATACATGAGTGCAGATGGTGATCAGTGCCAAACATGGAATGATGCAGTGAACACAGCGTAGGGTCATGTGTTAGTGGTGGGAACAGTCATACGGTTATTGTTCATGTGTCCAACAGCAGAGGGGAAGAAACTGTTCTTATGGCGAGAGGTTCTGGTGCGAATGGACCGGAGCCTCCTGCCTGGGTTGTGTGTTGACTGAATAAAGGCTGCGAGGGGATGCTGGTTCTTTGTGGAGTTGTCTGGGATCAGGTGAGGAGCTTTCAGCTCCAAGATCCGGATCCGACCGGCTTCCTTTGCAAGTTAAAACCCATCAATCTCTGGTTGTCTTGCTTCGCTCATGGGGATAAGTCTCTGAATCAGTGAGGCCTGTGAGCGCAGGCCTAACAAAGACTGTTTTGGCAATTCTCTTAAAAACAACGACCAACATTTTAGATCTAAGCTCCATGGAAGCCACAACTAAGGTTGGGTTTAAAAAAATTGATTTTCCAAGTAAAAAACGATTTTAGCTTGAATAAAGCGATATTGATTCATTAAATCCTGAATTGATTTTTAAATATAAATGTATTTTGCCAGGAACACCTGAATCTCAGGTTAAAGCTCACAAAACTATTTTAACAACCACCAAACACAAAACACCAAATGACAGCAGGTACATTGATTCCACACAAACACCTAAACACAAAGCACAGACCATTCACTCGACGGCACATACACAGACACGCCATCAGGACTAAAAGGCGAGATCTCACTGATTCTGAAGCTGCAGGTTTTATCACTCTCTGACCAAAATTTACTGAACCAGCAGCAAAAGTAGATCAAAACTAAGCTTCACATTTGATAAACATCGTCTTTAATTCCCTCTTACTTTTGCCGTTTTACTTCCACCACAATAAAAATCACACTTCCTGGATGGCTCTCTCTGTCAGTCACTTCATATGTTGATTCATGGTTTTCTTTCATCTTTGTTCTACTGCAAAATATTATAAGCTAGGCCAGAAAAAAATGTTTTTCTGTGTTTTATTTTCACTTACTTTGACACAAAGGCATCCGCTGTGATGCGCACACCTCTGAAGTCTCACAAGTGTCAGCTTTGTTTTTATATATAGATATAAAAATATGGAAATGTACTGATAAATGATCAGAATTATAAGATTTCTCACTGTCTGAGTCAAAATTGAACTGAATCGAGGATCAAATCAAATCGAGACCTTATGAATCAGAATCTAAACGATTATAGAAACTAGGGCTGCCACAAACGATTGTTTTGATAGTCGACTAGTCACCGATTATTTTTGCGATTAGTCGACTAATCAGATCATCATCCATTGGACTTAAAACGTACAGCTTATTGCACCAGCAGCATCTGCTCTTATATAACTATCATTAGCTTACAGCTTTAAGTGTTTAAGGTCTGTGCAAACTAAAAATAAAGACAAGATGGTAGTTTATTAAATTTTAATGAAATTTGCAGATTGTTTCGGTGAAGTTTAATAAACTCCTTGCTATCTAAAATATAACGGGACACCAGAGTAGATTCTCCAGCATCTCACACTTCTGATGATCAGCTGTCTGCTTGATGTTTATTCAGCTGTGTAAAAACTATAACTTTAATCTCAGCCAAACCGATTTACTCGGGAACAAATAAAATACTGAAAAAAGCCAAACAATAACATTTGTAAGTTATCTAAGTGACTCATATATCATGTTTAACCTGAGTAGCGAAAGACGGTGGTGGGTTTGAAAACGATTTGCCAGGAGTCCGGTGTTCTCACGGCACTAGTGAGCCTAGCCCCCGGCTAGCTATCGAGCTAGCGGGTAACAGACGTCTCCGAAAACGTCGGAGCGCTTTTGAAAATATGTGGTGTCCTGATAAACTGAGCAGATATTTGAGGTTTACACAGCTACATTCTCGCCTGAACATATGTTAAACGTTTATTTTGTGACCCAGAAAGAATAATAAGAGTAATATTAAAACTAACTAGCTGCCGCCATTGTTGGAAACTGAGCAGAGCCGCGCTATGAATTCTGGGACACAGCTTCTTCTTCTTCGGGGTTTAACGGCAGCTGGCATCCTTGTACATGCAGTGCTGCCATCTTCTGTTTCAGTCCGTTATTACACTCTTAAATCCTGCTACTTATTCCTGTGTCTTTTGGGATCTTACAAAGCTTCAAACGACGCGTCGACTATTAAATTTGTCGTCGACGATTTTGATAGTTGACGTAATCTTGACTAGTCGACTAATCGTGGCAGCCCTAATAGAAACCCCTTGGCTTTTGTACTTGCGTTTTGCTGTTCCATATGAAAGACGTATCGTTGTTGCAGTGCGCTATTTCGTGTGCTTCTCATATGCAATTAGCCTACCGTTCATTCATAATGGGGCCGAAAAAACTTTCTGCAAGTGATTCGAGTGAAAAGAAGAAGCGTAAGGTGCTCTCGATGGAAACAAAGAGAGAAATTATTGACAAATATGAGCAAGGTCTGCCTCCACCAAGAACTTTGTCTTCAGCCAGCATCGCCTCACTCAAAAGGCGATGGAAAAAGGTGCTTCGACTAACGAAAATTTTGACTTACGAAAGACGCTCTGGAACGAATTTATTTCGTAAGTCGAGGTTCCACTGTACTTACATATAGACCACTAGATGGGCTAGATCAATTTAGTGCTTTGTATGTACATCCCCTTTGCTCTGTGGACTTTTTCTTTTCAGTACAACTTTCTTTTACAGGCTTTTGTTCCCTTATTCCAACGTTTTTTTGTGATATCCTGCTGTCATCAAATTCAAAATGAGATTTCTGATCAGTCAAAAAATAAACAAACTGCAAAAAAAGAAAACATAGTTTAAAATACATTACATTTAAATTATAAAAACTTTTATAAGTGTCTAATATAAAGGTTTTGTGTGCATTAAACAATGTTTCCATGGCATGAAGGGTTTTTTAATGCTGGAAATGATCAAACGATGATTAAATTGTTAACGTTAAAGATCCAGTTTAGCTTTCAATGGGAAAAAAGAGGCCAAATGATGATGTATTACCACAGAGACATAGATTAGCAACACTAATGCTCATATCCCAGATGACTATTTCATATTGTGATTTATTGTCCTCTCAGACCAGCAGGTGGAGATGAAGGTGACTGAAGGCTTAGAGTCCGTCATCCTGCCCTGCAAAACAAAATCTTACCTACCTGAGGACACCACAGTGGAGTGGACTCGCTCTGACCCAGAACTCATGATGGTCCATATGTATGCAAACGAAGGCGACCAACTTAATGACCAGGACGGCCTTTACAGAGACCGAACAACAGTGAATGAAGACCTGCTGAGAACTGGAGACCTCAGTCTGACCCTGAAAAAACCCACAGAGAGAGACAGTGGAGGATACATCTGCACCATCTACAGGGACAAAGACATCCTGAGACAGAAAGTAGAGCTGCAGGTCAAAGGTCAGAGATGTAGATAAAGGTCAGAGGTGATGTAGATGTTGTCATAATATTATTATGATGTTTTAATATTATGGTCTATTATTGTTTTCTACACAGAGCCATTCCCATCTTGGGCCATAGCTCTCCCAATTATCCTGGTTGTTCTTGGGGTTTCTGGAGGTCTTTTATTTCATTTCCGGCACTATTTCATGTCAGGTGAGTGTCTCCTACTACACTACCCACAATGCCACAACATGACTTTACTAAACAGTGTGCGTGCTTCACTGCATTGATCTGACACAGTGTACACGCTGTGTACACGCTGTACACGCTGTGTACACGCTGTTCTTCTTCTGTGGTGGTAAACAGCAGCTGACATGGAAACATGTGCTGACAGTAAATGTTGCAGCAGCTTCAGTAAATGTTCCTCCTTGAGTTGTGCTCAGTCATGTGGTGGAGAGCTTCAGATGTTCAGACACATGAAATCTTCATGGTTTCTGTGCTGATGTGTGTGAGACATGGCCGACTGTGGAGGCTCAGTCTGTCTGTGCTTCTGCTCTTCATCCAACATGTCTGCAGCACTTTACAGGACGCTGCAGACTAGTTACCAAAGAACGAGTCAGGAACACATCAGGAACAAACTGAGACACAATCTGACTGGGACTAGAAGACAAGGAGGGGACAGGAAGGTCATGTGACCATCACAGCTGCTGCTGACGTCATTATGTTGTGCTTTGTCCTCTCAGTTTACCAGGTGGTGGTAGATTCAGGGGTGGAGTCTGTCCAGCTGCCCTGCAAAGGCACACTTCACCTCCCCAAAGATGCTAAAGTGGAGTGGATGGACAACAATGACAGGAAGGTCCATGTGTATGTGAATGGCCCTGATGAACCTGAACAACAGGACGAGTTTTACACAGATCGAACGAAGATGAATGAAGGCCTGTTGAAAACTGGAGACTTCAGTCTGACCCTGAAATACCCCACGAACACAAACAGCTACACCTGCACCATCTACAGCAGGGAGGGAAAGATCCTGCTGAAGAAACAAGTGGTGCTCACTGTTATAGGTCAGTGCTGTAGGTACAGGTCAGAGGTCAGAGGTCACTGTAAAAGCTCAGAGAATATGAACTGGGTTCACATCATCACATCATCCATGAGACTTTCATGAGTTTCTCATAATGTTGGTTTAGCATTTAGCTAGCACACTGCTAAAGTCAGTTCAAATATATCTATTTTGTTAGCACTCACATCTCAGTGAAAATAACTACATGCATGCTTTTTCCAGAACCGTTCAACTTTCCTCATAAACACACATGGAAATATCACAAATCTGGGTCATGAAACAAGGAGGGGAGGACCTGTTACCATCACTGCTTGTCATGTTCAAAATTTTTCAAGACTTTAGGAAAAATATCTGTCATTTAAAAACATTTAATTTGCTTCAGCAGTTGAAATTACAAGTTTACAGCGCTGTACCTTTGTGTGAACCATTGGTCTGCTTCACAGAAAGGATAACCTTGAAACGGGCTGTACAGATTATATACTGTGGCAATAACAAAGGATTATTAGGGCTATCTTCTCCGAGCACCAAATGTGGCAGTCTGCTGTGGATCCTCCTCATTCAGTCCGACCTTGCCTGGTGTCTGCTCCTTTGAGACAGAAAAGAAAAACATCTCCCTGGCTAGCCTTGATTACCCTGTTTTCCACACTATAAGACCCACTGAAAATCCTTTAATTTTCTCAAAAATCCACAGTGTATTATAATATATACACATTATAATAAAAGTTACCGTGAGGGTTCTGAATTCGGAAACAAATGCAATCGCATGGCAGGATGCTGTAAACGGACCAAACTCCAGTCAGGAGAACAACTGAAATAATCCATCCACAATACGAGGTTAGTCATTAATATACTGCAACAACATGGGAATAGAGCAGCTGTGAGAGAATTCAACTTTAATGAATCAATGGTACAGAAGTAGCAGAAGCAAGAAGAATGAGTTGAGTAAAGTTTGATATCTAACTGTTTGGTTTCACTTAATGCACCTTATGGTTCGGAAAATACGGCATTTAATATTATCCTAGATCCTAAAATCTAGTTCATGACAACTTGTTTGGACATTCTGACCCAGAGACTATTCTAACCTTTATCATGTGTATGTAAGCACTCTGCTTCTTCTTTCAATATTTCAAATCCAGACAGTAGTGCTCTCAACCCTCAAACACGGAGGGCCAAAATGTTTATGAGCACATTTGCATTGTGTATATATTAAAATAATAAAAACAGCTTTATTTAATAGTTTTATAAACAATGTAATAATTTTTAAACCCTAACATGCTGCTGTTGCAGTCTGTTCCACTTACACATGCTGTGTTGTCTTCTCAGTCCCCCAGGTGGTGGTGGATTCAGGGGTGGAGTCTGTCTTGTTGGACTGTAGAACCACACTTAAGTTACGTGAAGGTGCTAAAGTGGAGTGGAGAGACGCTTACAGGAAGGTCCATGTGTATCAGGATGGCTCGACTAAGCCAGAGAAACAGGATCAGGTGTACAGAGGCCGAACAGAGATGAATAAAGATGCGCTGAGGACTGGAGACCTCAGTCTGACCCTGAGATACCCCACAATCACAAACATCTACACCTGCACCCTCTATGACAGGGAGGAACACATCCTGCTGAGGAAACAAGTGGTGCTCAATGTCAGAGGTCAGTGCTGTAGATACAGGTCAAAGGTCACTGTAAAAGCTCACAGAAGATGAACTGTGAGAGTCCACATCATCCATGAGACTTTCATGAGGTTTTCATAATGTTTATTTAACATTTAGCTAGCATACTGTGAAGGCTAAGTCAGTTCAAATATATCTATTTTGTTAGCACTCACATCCCAGTCAGAATAAGATAACCTTTATTAGTCCCACACGTGGGAAATTTGTTAAAAATTGAACAAATTGAACACACATGGAAATGTCACAAATCTGAGTCATGAAACAAGGAGGGGAGGTCCTGTTACCATCACTGCTGCTGTTCCTGTCTGTACCATTTATAAATGCTTCTTTTTTCTCTCAGTCCACCAGGTGGCCGTGGATTCAGGGGAGATGTCTGTCCAACTGCCCTGTGAAACCACACTTGAGTTGCCTCATGATGCTAAAGTGGAGTGGAGAGACACTTACAAAAAGGCCCATGTGTATGAGGATGGCTCTAATAAACCAGAAAAACAAGATCAGGATTACAGAGGCCGGACAGAGGTGAATGAAGACCTGCTGACAACTGGAGACCTCAGTTTGACCCTGCAATACCCCACCGATGGAGACACAGACACCTACACCTGCACCGTCTACAGCAAGGAGGGAAAAATCATGTTCAAGAAAGCAGTTAATCTGAAAGTCAATGGTCAGAGATTTAAATGACTCTATTTGTTCACACACTGCGTTCTGTGTGTGTGTGTGTGTGTGTGTGTGTGGCCTACAGTAGTCTACTATCTTATACAGTTTGTGTGCTGCCTTTAGCCCTACAACAGCTGGGATAGACTCAGTTATGTTTGTGTATTTTGGAGGTACTTGTCCAGAAAAGAGGATTTTCTGGATTAAATAGCAGATTTAAGTCTTCTCTTATTACAAGTGTGGTGTTACTGCAAAGAACAGAATGTATGAAAAAAGGATGGTCATCAGCATTTGGTCCATGTATACTAGCAATACTCAGATCCAAATTTTGAATACATGAATATAAATTTACCATCTGGATCTGTAATAGTGTTGCCAACAGTGAAGATTATTTTTGTTAATTATGTCTCTTTGTTTTGAATAGTAACAGAACACTGTGGAGAAATGAGTGTGTGCATTGTGTTGCTGGGGTTGTTGTTTGTACTCTTAGTTTAGTTTTCTGCCTTCTTCATGCGTCCTTCTACTTCATCTTCTGTGTTAAGTATTTCCGTTATACTGTTTTCTGTTTTATTTTGGTAACCTTTGGCTGTGTTTATTGTTCTGTTGTACTTTCCCAGTCTTTTTCCCTGACTAGTTCCCTGGTGTTTCCTATCTGTCTAATTACTTGTGTGTGTTTATAACCTCACCTCTTTTCTTGGCCTTTGTCATCTCCGTCCTCTGTGCTCTACATCAGCTTCTCCTGTTGATCATCACATTTTTATATTTTGGTTTCCCTGCTTTGCAAACATTTAAACTTTCTGTATTCCTTTGGCTTACTGCATTAAGCCTCCTGTTCTGTGTTTGAGTCCAATACAGAAGATTTTCTTGTTTGTTTGTATTATGCAGTAAATTAGACAGGGGCTGAGAAGAGTATCTAGCTGTGGTTTGTTGATCTGGTGTGATGGGGCCAAAGTAGTATCAGGTCATACATGCGTATTGAAAGGAAGACAATCACAGAATTAAAGGTCAGTGAGAGAAGCTCTGAGAGAGGTCACAGGGTGACGGCAGAAAACAGTGCTCACAGTTCTGTATTAGAGACAAACAGTTAAACAGTAAAATGAGGGCAAATTTCACTTTAATCGTCCTGTTAGAGGGGTCATGACCTCAGGGCTTCCTACGGGCTGATTCAAAGACAGGAAGACTGAAAAAATGTGAAATATAGATCATGTAGATGTTGATTGTTTGGGTTTTCTCTGCTTTCTTTGTATTATTGTTGGGTCTTTACCTTGCAGTATGACGCACCTTGAGGCCAATGTTGTTGTGATATAATGCATTATAAGTAAAGTTAAATAGAATTGATATAAAACTACATTGATCCAGTTTCTGTGGCCAAAAATAATCACATTGATTGAGTGACTGAGCATTGAATTGAAAGATTTCAGTCCCCTGTTCCTTTCTCCTCTGATCTTTCTTTCAGCTTTTTTCTACAACCATGAAAACCTGCTGCTGTCTGTACAGCTCACGTTCTGTTTCTTGTCCTTTCAGTCTGTCAGGTGGAGGTGGAGGAGGGGATGGAGTCTGTTTGTCTGCCATTTAAAACTACAAAAAACCTGCCCAAAGATGTTGTAGTTGCGTGGCAATCTGATGAAATGATGGTCCACGTGTATGAGAACGGCTCTGACAAGCTTGAAGAACAGGACGAGGTTTACAGAGACCGAACTAAGATGAATGAAGACCTGCTGAAAACTGGAGACCTCAGTCTGACCCTGAAACAGCCCACAGATGATGACAATGGAGAATACAGCTGTGAAGTCAGCAACAGGGATGACAACCGCACACACAGAATTTGGAGACACAAAATTGTGCTGCTCAAAGTCAAAGGTTTGTGTGTGTGTGTGATTGTATGTGTGTATGTATGTGTGTGTGTGGGGGGCGGGGGCGGGGGGGGGGGGGGTATTAGGAAGTTTCCTTGTGTGGTCATGCTGGGTTTGTATTGATCGTCTTATCCACATAATAATTTATCCATAGAATGCAGAGCTTTATTGTTTTTTCTTTTATATAAAATGCAAACAACAAGGTGGGCAGTCCAAGCACTCCTACAATCAATAAAAATTAAATTTAAATAAAATTAAAATTAACTTACAAGATTGCCTACCATTATCAGGTAATCAGACTTTCCAGCACCTCCAAGGACAGGATTTCACCTCCAGAACTTTAGTTTTTTTAGTGTTTTCTGTTTTGTTTGTGTTTATTAGTGATTTTTAGAGCTCATGCAGCTGTTAGTATTCACAGCACAACAACTCATAGTCAAACTCATGTGATGGAAGATCTGTTTTACCGGTCAGTACCTTTATTAACCGTATAGTCTTGGCTAATCCTTTTATTAATAAAACTTTAGAAAACATATAGATATAAAAAAGTACAGACCTCTCTACTCTACCTGCACAAAATTACTTAAAAAAAATCCTAAAAACAATATTATAGGGTATCATTACTAGCTCCAATCCTTCTGTCTGTACCTTAATCCTTCACATGTGGAAGATATTTTTGCATTTCCCCAACTCAGCCTCCGCTGACCGCCAGGCTCTCCTAGGTGAATCTAAAAAGCTGCACACATTAGGCTGTTAATATAGATGCTGACGATATAGATGTAGATGCTATAGAATCAGAATCAGAATCAGAATCAGAAAGGGTTTTATTGCCAAATGTTGAGCAGGTTTACAACATTAGGAAATTGCTGCGGTGCTTCAGTGCAAACATACTGTCATAAATTGCGCTTAAATAGACAAGAAAAAATAAAAGTAAGAATAAGAATTAAAAGTGCTACGTAGAAAGATATATGCATGAGATATACATGAGATATACATGAGAATAAGAATTAAGAGTGCTACGTAGAAAGATATATACATGAGTGCAGGTGGTGATCAGTGCCAAACATGGAATGATGCAGTGAACACAGCGTAGGGTGTTAGTGGTGGGAACAGTCGTACGGTTATTGTTCATGTGTCCAACAGCAGAGGGGAAGAAACTGTTCTTGTGGCGAGAGGTTCTGGTGCGAATGGACCGGAGCCTCCTGCCTGAGGGGAGCAGGTCAAACAGACTGTGTCCAGGGTGAGAAGGGTCAGCTGAGATCCGAGCTGCACGCCCCAGTGTCCTGGAGGTGTACAGGTCCTGCAGAGATGGGAGTCTGCAGCCAATCACCTTCTCAGCAGAGCGCACAACACGCTGCAGTCTCTGTTTGTCCCTGATAGTGGCTCCAGCGTACCATACGGTGATGGAGGAGGTGAGGATGGACTCGATGATTGCAGTGTAGAATTGCATCATCGTCCGTGTTGGCAGGTTGAATTTCTTCAGCTGCCTCAGGAAGTACATCCTCTGCTGGGCTTTCTTGATGACGGAGGTGATGGTGGGCTCCCACTTCAGGTCCTGGGTGATGGTGGTACCCAGGAAGCGGAATGAGTCCACAGAGGTGATGGGGGTGTCAGTCAGGATGATGGGGGGGAGTGGGGCTGTGTGCTTCCTGAAGTCCACAATAATCTCCACTGTCTTCTGGGCATTCAGCACCAGGTTGTTGTGGCTGCACCAAGACACCAGGCGTTCAACCTCCCTCCTGTAGGCAGACTCATCCCCGTCCGAGATGAGCCCAATAACGGTGGTGTCATCTGCAAACTTGATTAGCTTGACAGACTGGTGGGTGGAGGTGCAGCAGTTGGTGTACAGGGAGAAGAGCAGAGGAGAAAGAACACAGCCCTGAGGGGAGCCAGTGCTGATGGTCCGAGAGTCCGAGACATTCTTTCCCAGCCTCACATGCTGCTTCCTGTCCGTCAGGAAGTCAGTGATCCACCGGCAGATGGGATCAGGCACATTCATCTGGGAAAGCTTGCCTTGGAGATGGTCTGGAAGGATGGTGTTGAAGGCAGAGCTGAAGTCCACAAACAGGATCCTGGCGTAGGTTCCTGGGGAGTCCAGATGCTGCAGGATGAAGTGTAGGGCCATGTTGATGGCGTCGTCTACAGACCTGTTGGCTCTATATGCAAACTGCAGGGGGTCCAGGAGGGGGGCCGTGAGGGTCTTGAGATGGGAGAGAACTAGGCGCTCGAATGACTTCATGACCACAGATGTCAGAGCCACGGGTCTGTAGTCATTTAGTCCAGTGATCCTAGGTTTCTTGGGGACAGGGATTATGGTAGAGGACTGTGCAGGCAGGCACATGACATGCCTGCAGTGAGGAGTTGAAAATGCCAGAAAACACTGGGGCCAGCTCGTTTGCACAGTGTCTGAGGGTGGCAGGAGACACACCGTCTGGGCCGGGAGCTTTTCGAGCATTCAGACTCTTAAACTGCTTCCTCACATCTGCTTCATGAATATGAAGAGTTGTGGTGGGAGGAGGTGGTGTGAAATCCTCTTTTGTGTGGGGTGAGGAGGGGGGTGTTGTAGGTGAACAGTTTGAAGGTGGTGATGGCTCTATGGAGGGGGGAGAGGTGGGGGAATTAGTGTCCAAAGTGTCTCTATTGTTGGGGCCGTTGGAGGTGTGAAGGCTGCCTGATGGCTCGTCAAAACGGCAGTAGAAGTCGTTGAGGGTGTTGGCTAAGAGCAAGTCATCAGTGGAGTGGGGGGTTTTAGGCTTGTAGTTTGTGATATTCCTAAAACCTTTCCACACAGAGGCCGAGTCATTCTCTGAGATCTGCTGCTGCATCTTCTCAGAGTGCTGATGTTTAGCAATGTCCACTTCTTTAGTGAACCTGTACTTGGCCTCTCTGTAGCAGTCCCTGCCTCCGCTTCTGAACGCCTTTCTCTTTTCCAGCCACAGCTTTTTGAGTTTAGGAGTAAACCAGGGTTTGTCATTGTTATAACTCACCCTGGTGCGTGATGGCACAATGCTGTCCTCACAGAAGTGGATATAGGAGGTGACAGTGTCCGTAAACTCGTCCAAGCTGTTAGAAGCAGCCTTCATTGTGTCCCAGTCTGTAGACTCCAAACACGTGCGAAGCTCCTCCACAGCCTCGTTGCTCCACAGTTTTTTAGTCCTCACGACAGGTTTGGAGAGATTCAGCCTCTGTCTGTACGCGGGGATTAGGTGGATCATGACGTGGTCAGAAAGTCCGAGTGAAGCACGGGGCACCGCGCGATAGGCCCCGCTGATCGTGCTGTAGCAGTGGTCCAATGTCCTCTCCTCTCTGGTCGGGCATTTAATATATTGCTTATATTTCGGTAGCTCATGGCTCAGATTGGCTTTGTTAAAGTCCCCAAGAGCAATGATGAGAGAGTCCGGGAATGTCCGCTCCATGTGGAGAATCTGCTCCGTGAGTGCGCACTGAGCTGCCTGCGCATCCGCGTCTGGCGGGATGTAAACAGCGGCCAGGATGAATGAAGCAAACTCCCGCGGAGAATAAAACGGTTTGCAGTGAATAAAAAGATATTCCAGAGAGGAAGAGCAGTGCTGAGCAATCACTGTCACATCTGTGCACCAGCCACTATTGATGTAGAAGCAGACCCCTCCACCTTTGGTCTTACCAGAGAGAGAGGCCTGCCGGTCCGCGCGCAGCAGATGAAAGCCCTATAGGTGACATTCCATTACAGTTTGGTCACCCAAAAGTCCTAAAGGCGGTTAAGCCTTAATTTTACACTTTTATAACGTTCTAGTTCCCTGCTTCCTGTGGCTGCACACACCTACACGGCTCCACAGCTTAGGTCTTCCAATGATTATATATTTGTATACATATACATATATACAATACCTAAACAATACCTACTATTAGGTGTTAGGTTAGGTATTATCAGTCAGCTTAATGAAAAACACTGTGATCCTATGAGCTGCTATCAGGGCTGCTCCATTCTCAGGATTCTCATCCGGATTATTAAAGCAGCAAATGTAAATCTCATTGAAATGAAGAAGAAGTCCAAGTTTAAGAAAGTTTGGCTAAGCAGAGGGTGAGGGAGGGTGGAGGGAGAGTAGAGTTGGGTTTGGTGGACAGGTAAAGCTGAGTGTCGTCGGCATAACATTGGAACTGAATATTATATTTACTGAAAATGTGTCCAAGTGGGAGGAGGTAAATAATGAAAAGGAGGGGCCCAAGGACAGATCCCTGAAGCACCCCAATAGAGGCTGTAGAAGCTGAGAAGGAAGTTAGAGACGGTGTCAAAGGCTGCACTCAAATCGAGGAGAATAAGGATGGAGATGAGACAGCTGTCATAAGAAGGTAATTTGTTATTTTTATAAGAGCAGTTTTGGTGCTATGAAATGGGTATCGTTTAGGTTTTATCCGATACCAGTACCAAACCGGTACTTTTGAAATGGTGCTGGTGCTTAAATGGTGCTCAAACCGGTGCTTAAAGAATGGAGAACACAAAATTGGTCCAAAAACCTCTCATGTTTAGCTGTTTTTTTTTGTAAAAAGATAACAATGTTAGCCTTTTCTGCAGCTATGGGGGATTTATGGCAACGCTCTTGGCTGGAAGCAGTGCTTAAACAATGGAAAAAAAACACACTTTGTCCAAAAACCTCTCATGTTTAACTGTTTTCCACTTCTTCTTTGGTCATTTTAGCCCTTCTGGCCAGGGTGAAGGGAGTATCTGCCATCAAACAAGAAGACAGCCGCATGTAGCTATGATGATGTTTGCTAGTTCACCTTACATGCATTAATGTAATAACGTGGTTAGCCTACTCAACGTAAATTACACACGAACAACATTAAGCTACTCACGCAGAGAAGAACGGCTGCTGCTGCCATCATCATCCTCATCATTTCTGCTACACTGGCAGGGCTAGGGGCCAGGACTCTCCTCTTCGGGTTTTTGGGGGATGTTTCTAACTCCGGGTCTGATAACAGGCAACTCACGTGCAGTAGATGCGCACGGTGTGAGGTCTTGCAGCAAGCTAT